TAAAAAAAATTTAATAGATATTATTAATTAACTTTAAGAATTATGAGGGGTCGGATACTTATGACCGCTACTGTATTAAAGTTTTTTTTTAGTTAAGATACTTCTAAAGAATTAGATATACTGAGTTTCTTTTTGATAATCTTCTTTTTCTTTTCTTGTTCAAACAATTCATATAAATATCATTTAGTATTAACTTATTAATCTATTAAAGTAAAGTTAAGTTTTTTTAAATGAGAATTTAATATTAAAGGAATTAAATTTTCAGTGGTAAGTATAGAATAATATTTCTTTATATTTGTAAATAATTTTAATTTAACTTTATCAAGTAAACTAAAAGTATTAACTGGTTTATTAATCATAATATTTCTGTTTATTAATTCCTCTTCTTTATCATCATTTTTAAATACATTATCTTATTTATTACTATCAGAATCTTTATCATATGATAATAAATTTGTTATAAATATTTTAGTAATTTTCATCAACATTAGTATATACAAACTATTGATTATATAATTGCTTCCTCCTAATACTTCTGTTGCTTCTGTAAATACTGATAATACTTTTGTTAAATCTATAATAAGGTCTCATTCATCATCATTAATTATTATTTCTTTTAACCTTTTAGCATCTTTTTTGAATTTTTGATCTGTATAATTTGAAATTGTATTTAATAAAATTTTAATCTGTTCTTTTAAATATAATAAATATTTTTATGTAAAAAATCTTGAATTTTAGCGTGTAGATATATTATTAATCAATCAAAGATATTTAGCTGTATATTTAGCATTCTATAATTAATATATAAATTAAAAAATTATAATAAAAGTAAATATAATTTAAAAATAATTAAAATAATTTTCAAATTTATTAAAAAACAAAAAATAATATTTATATAAATACATAATTAAATTTTAAATATAACTTTAATTATAAACTAAATTTTAAAATAAATAAATAAATAAATTTTACAATATTTGTTTCTCCTATTTCAATTTTAAACTATCTAATATATTTGCATTTGAATATTTTTTTTAAATATCTTTTAAATATTTTGATTGTTTAAAATGTATAAAAAATTCAATTAATCTTTTTACTTGTATAATTAATACTTTTACAGAAACTAAATTTTTTCTAATTATAAGTTAAAGAGTATGTGCATTATATCCTTGCCATTTAATGCATTCATATTTAAAATTGTTTTTTTATATTTAGTTCATTATCAGTAGTAATCATAAAAACTTTTTATATAAATTCCATTTTATAAGAATATCTTCTAAACTTTTAATAATATATTGAGTATTATGAAGATATCAGATATAATTAATAGATAAAGTAATTTCATTAAAATTAAATTTTGAATTAATATAAGAATAAGTTATAGTAATATAATCTTTTCTATTTCTTGCAGTTCATATATCAGTGATTAATGATACACTTTTTACTTCTGTATTAGTTTTTTTAATTAAAATTGATAAAATAAAATTATAAGCATAATAAATAACTTTTTTGATTCCTATTTCATCAGGAATTATAAAGGTTAGATCTAATTTACTAATAAATTAATGAAAAGATTGATTTTGAATTACAGTTAAAATGCTTTATAATGAATCTTTATTTCAGAAATAAAATTTTGTTATAATAAATAATTCGGTAACATTTCACTAAATTTTTTAAGTTTATTCATTATATGATTATATCAAATATCATATACAAATTCAGTATATTGTTTACAATAAAATTATCATATTTATTATATATTTTAAAGGTTTAATGACAAATTGGTAAAAAAAAAATCTTTTGCTATAAATTTTATAAGTTTCTATTCATTTAACTCATCTATCAGATTTGTTTTCACAAAAGAGTCTAATGTAACTTATTACTTAGAAAGAAATCCTTTTCATTCTATAACTTTTCATAATTTTTTTATTACACAAGTTTGATCTTTTTGAAATTAGATTTTTTTAGCTTTTTGTTCAATATATATAATTACTTTTTCAAGTGTTACTAATGCTTCATAATTGCTAATAGCAGAAAATTTAACTTCTTCTTCAATATCTTCTTTTAGTTTTTTTAAAGTTTTTAAAACTTCTTCATCAGTTATTATTTGGTACAGTGTGCGAAAAAAATAATCGGAATAAAAATTCTATGCCGAAAAACTTAAATAATTCCTGTAATAAACATCCGTTCGGCAAA